GGGGGGGGGGGTGTATCAGGAGCCATGTGGCAGCCAGCAAAGCCTGCAGCTGGGGAGAGACGGGGGAGCACACAGCTCCGACCAGGGGGAGTCAGTCCTTCTAGCCAGGCAGCACAGCAGGAGCCTCAGCAGCTCACAGCCAGTGCTGGGGATGGGGCAAGTGACAGTACTCCTGACTGGCCAGGGAGGCCACGTCCCAGGCAGCCCCCTGCTTTGACCAAGAGGAGGATGAGGGACCAAGGGACTGGCAGGAGACGCGGATGAGCCACTGCCTAGAACCAGCCTCATGGGCCTGATAAGTACCTGGCTAACAAAGCCCCCGCCTCTCTGGGGAGCGCGGACACACAGCCCAGGCGTCTGACTTGAGCCTCCTGTGGGAGGCAGCTCCAACAGACCCCCAGGTACCCTGGCTCTGCCCAGGCTTTACCTCCGAGTAGCCCTCGTACCCCGGGACAGGGGATGAGTACCCACCGTCCTCGATGTCTTGGGCCTGAGCCTCTTCCACCGTTACACAGTGAGGGAAGTGCATGCCTGTCTCAAAGTCAATGCCCATCTTCTCCGCCTGCCGGCGAGCCTGCCGGAGAACGGCACCTCCCTGCTCCCGCAGACGGATGGCTGCCCGGTAGAAGATTGTGTCTTTGGCATTGTATTTCAAACAGTTGTTGATAATCAGGTTGAAATCCTCCTCAAAGTCATCGAAATTCAGATAGCGATAGGCTTCCAGGTTTTGTTTCATTGTCTGAAAATCCATCGGCTTCTTGATGTGATCCAGGTAGTCTGGGACCTGCATGAGGAAAGAACCAGAGCTAAGAGCCCGGGAGCCATCAGTTAGCATTACCTGCTCCAAGAAAATAATTGTTAGAGGAATCAGGTATCGCTCCCTGTGTTCTGCCCAAATGCACATCGGGGAATGCTGTCTGCTTTTGCAGCTTGAGGAACAGTAACGCCTCCAGACTAGGGAGTCCATGTGCTGTGCTCAACCTGTTAAGAGCAGATACGCACTCTGAAGCATTTTTACGGCTCCAGCGCACATGCCAGCATCCCGTCCTCTCCTCCTGTCTGCAGGCAGCTGAGATCCAGTATGCTACACAGCATTCCCCAGGGGAGGAAGCTGCAAGCACAGCCCCCGGGGGTGAGGGTGAGTGCAGATAGGTAAACCAGAACCATCTAGGCGGTAGCAATGGCTGCAGGTGAGACTGCGCAGCCTTCCTCCCCAGCTCTGCCGAGGCACCTCCACGCCGACCTGCTGCCAGAGCTGTGCAGAACCAGCATGGCCTTTCCCCACCTCCACAGGCAGCGGCTCGATGCCAGTCTCAGGAATCATTTCCCTTGCCCCCAGCAGTGACACTCTGGGGGTCAAACCTGTTTCTGCGCTGTGCTCAGTCTGTCACCTAGCAGAGAGTCTGTCACCTAGCACCTTCACGAGAGGACAGGTAAGAGCACGCTGCCTGCCAAGGGCCGGCATTCTGCCTTTCCCAGCGGGACTCCCTAACCGCTCACAGACACCAGGGAGTCACCAGCAACACGCACAGAGGAAGAGCTGAGTGCCGTGCTCCCGGCTGGCACCAGCTCAGCTGTTCTGCATTCGGCTCACCCAGGAGAGCCATTGCTGCACACTCTCCTTGGGTGAGGGCACTGGGATGCGCGAGCCAGCACCAGGCTGCCTGGGGGAGCTTCCGGACCAGAGCGCACCCTGGGCAGCCCTTGGCAGGAGCAAGGGACAAGTTTGAGTGAAGTAGAAATCTGGGGGAGGGGGTTCTTACTTCGTAGATTTCTGTTACCTCAGACAGAGGGACCGGCTCACTGAAGATGTTGCCCGTGTCTTTCTCCTGCAGCTGCTCAAGCGTCTTGCGGAGGAGGATGAGGAAGGGGGTCAGCTGCATTTCCAGTGCCACCTGCTGCACTTTGATCTGAAACAAAGGAACAGAGTGGGGCTGAGCCCCCTGCCCAGCAGCCAGACAGTGGGGACAGTCCCTGGGGAGCAGCGGTGCAGTCCCAGAGGACAGCGACACCTCTCCTCGCACGAGGGGCAGGGACTGCACCTCACCCCCGTCTCTGGGGAGCAGGGGTGTAACACTGGCTCCAGCACCTGCGCGTCCCACCTCAGCCTTGCAGAGCAGCCACCTTTGCTCAGAGCCGCCGGGGCAGGGCGCAGCACGGCTGAGGGGACCCCGGCACACACCCTACCGCACTCTAAAGAGCCCGTGCTCATGCCCACCCCAGCAGCTCCCCAAGGAGGGGCAAACAATCGTTACCGTCTCTCTCTTGAGCTTCTCCCGCTTGCGTATCAACTCCACCAGCAAGCGTGCACGCTCTAGGTCATGGCGGAGGCGCTGCCATGACTTCAGCTGCTCCTTCAGGGCCCAGTTCTTATCCTCAGTGTCTCTCTGCGGGAATATCAGAGACTGTGAGCTGATAGGAGATCTGTTCCCACCTCCACCTTCCTGACTGTGTGCTGGGGCTCTTCCCTGGCAAAATGAACCAGCATGCCTGACCCGCTGGTTCAACGAAGGTCCCGGTTCCCTTGTTGTAACCTAGGCGGGTGACTCAGAAACAGTCCGACCTCTGGCCAGAGCTGAGTACCTGCTCCTTGGTCACCAAGCCCTTAGGATGCCAGGAGGCAGACATCCCGAGCCTCTGGAAATACTCTTCCTAACACAACTGACCACCTGCAGCTGCCCAAGAGCACAGAACAACAATACCAGAGTCTGTGCTGCTGCTCAGAGCTCTGGCCAAGGGCAACAGGGCAAAAGGGGAACACGGCTCTCGTTGCTTTCACTTCTGGAGCACCAAAAAACGCCGACTTTTATTCTGCCGTAGCCAAAGATAAGCAGAAGCAGTCTCAACTCTTCTCAATCAAATAAAAATGAGAGGGGGAAAAGGCAGGAGAAATGCCTGCCCAGTCACTGTCTTCAAAGGGCTCAGAAAGAAAGATTTACAGCTCAGACAGAGAGCCAGAAGAAAAAAAAAAAAACCTTCCTCTCTGGCACCAGAGACTTCACATCTGTGAAGCGCTGACTAAGGGCTGAGGCAGACAGTGGGCTGGAAGCAGCACCCACAATGAGCGCTCCTGGAGCAGTTTCAGAAACTGGAAGTGAGGCCTTGTTTCCTTCCAGACTGTTTCTGAAGATCTCCGGCCATCTCTCTCAACACTTGCTGACACAGCAGCCTCAGACTAGAGCCATTTCTGACAGGTTTGCCATCGCCACCGGCTAAACGCGGGCATGAGGAAGGAGCTAACTTCTGTGCGGCAGTGTGAGAGGGCAGGATTCCCTTCCCGTGGGCAGGCTGCCAACAGCGTCGCTGCCTGGCAAATCTCTGAATGCCTAGAGCGGAGGAGAAGGTGAAGCAGCAAAAGCAGCTGGGGTTGCCCTTCCCTCATCCAGGAGCTCATACCCCTGGGCCCCTCCCTTCTGCGCCTGCAGACACCGCATGCAGCAAAGGCTTTGAGCCCACAGCTCCGAAGGCGCAGGAAGCACAGGCACGCAGCCAGGATTCTCTGCAGCACCCCAACGAGCAGCCCTTACCTGGTCGCAGTTTCGTTGTGACTGCAAGTGTGTCTGAAGACGGCGGAGCAGTGGGACACCGTTGCGGGACTGTCTCTTCAGAGTCCAGTAGCTGTGCAGCCTCTGCATGAACTGGCTCTTCCTCTGGATGGTTAAACGGTTTGTAATCTTGCTGAGCCTGAAGAAGGGAAAGGAACAAGAAGACCCCATCAACGAGGCAAGCCTGACCGCTGCAGGAGAAGCCCTGGCTGGGGGGACGTAGCAGCAAGGCCACCAGAGAGCAGCTGAGAAGCTCCTCGGGCAGAGAACACCCTTTCCCACGGCAGGAATTTCTGTAACACCAAGTCACGCAGGGCAGCCACCCCCCTGAGTCAGCCGCAACAGAGGATGCCAGGAAACATCCAGCCTTGCCTCTCCAAAACAGATTTTTCCTTTCTACCTTCTGCCAACTTTCAGACAAAAGCCTGGGGCAAGCTGCGCTAGGTTGGGGTACAACACAGCCGCATCGGGGGCTGGACCTTTAACAGCTTCCACCGTCCCTGAGATCGCAAGCGTTAGGTGCTGCTATCCCAAAACCATTATTCAACCTGGCTGAGGGCCACTCATGGTGACAAAGGCCACACGTTACCAGACAAATTCAAGCCCTAGGGAGCCCATAACTTGACCAAACCTGCCAAACCAGGAGGGAACAGGAGGCACGAGCAGAACAGAGCTCCCGTCCAAGCTAACGAAGGATTACCCTAAACAGCCCAAAATACCACAAAAGGGATTTTCCCACTCTCTACAACAGCAGAAAACTTGGGGGGGCTGAGACAGTCTCATTCAGCAAAGCCGGACAGAGATGCCCCGCTAGTGGGGAGCTGAAGGGATGAACCACCACCATCTCCACGTGTCACGGGGACAGCTCTTCGCAGGGGATGACCCGACCTGCGTCAGCCTCGGCTGAATAGGCTGGGGAGAGTGGCCTCCTGTGCCACCGCCGGCCAAGCACAGCTCCCACAGGAAGACATTTGGCATGCTGGCAACAGCCCTTGAAGAATAATTAATCCCAACAGGAAGGCCTGAGGAGAGGTTAACAGCTTCTAGCTCAGTGTGGGTTTCGCTGCGAGCGCAATGATAGCAGCAAGAGCCTACAAACCGCCTGCCAACGTGTCCACACATAAGAAAAGGGGGTCTGGCTATAGAGCAAGCCTCGAGCGAGCAAAACCATGAGATTAGGACACAGACTGTGGCAAAACACCAGCAGCCTTGTAGCAGAGACCTGCCTCCACAAGTCACCAAAACGCCTCCCAGAGAGCAAAGCCCATGGCTTCTGCGTGCTCCCCTCTGACCGCACAGCAGACAGTCCCGAGAGTCTGCAGGGAAGCAGCGATCCCATGTCCCCTTGCTCTCACAGCCCTGCTCGACTGGCCAGCAGGTACGGCACCAGGGTATCACAGGGTTACACCCCCAGCACAGCTCCCGCCACGGGGAGGGGGAGAGCTCAGGGGTGGTGGTTCACAACCATGAAGGCAAACGCTTCCGTGCCCAACCTGCGCTTCAACAGTGCAATGCCTGTTGCAGGGTGACAGCAAGAGCCAAAACTGTCCTAAGATGCTTCTACGTGCTTTTGCGCACTGGCGAGGACACCCAGAGTTATAAACTATGCTGACAAATTCTGGCAAGGCTCTTAGACGCTCGTATCAGGATTTGCACACCAGCCCAACGATCAGACCAGGGCAAGACACACGGCGATTATACCTGTAACTACCGGGTGTTTGTGCCTTCCTGTGAGCCTTCAGGGTCAGGATGCAACAGAAACACAATCTCTGACAATGCCTCAAGTACCTTCCCGACAGCACCTGCGCTGCCCTCATGCCATAAAGCCAACCTCACGACAGTCGTGCCCCTCGGCAGACAGGAGTCCTGGTCCTCTCCAGCCACCCCTCGCAGGCAGCTGTGCAGAAAAGAGGCTTTCTGCCCCCCACTGCTGCCCAGCCCCCCTCCAACAGGCAGCACCGAGGCAGAGCTGCTGCCTGTGATGGGCACAAAACACTGAGGAAGCCCAGCAAGGGGTAAGCGGTTGCTGGGATGGATGAGCTGTGCTCAGCAGGGCACAGGGATCCCGATACGAGACCCCTCTGCTCGAGCCAAAACAAATCCTGGGGTTAGCCTGTTTCCCAGGCCTGAATCGCTCCCATACTTCCCTCTTCCCCAGCACAGCCCCGGGAGAAAACAAACCTCGGCAGAAAGGAGAGCAGCACC